TTAAAGCCAAGGAAGGGCAAAAAATATTTTAAGTCAAGGATAGTGATTGCTGCATGAGTCGTACGATTTTTGAATCAAGCACGGGCAACGCCAGGCCATGCTGCTAGTTAAAATTTAAAAAAAAATAACGCCCAAAGTGAATTGTTCACTATACAACTGTTAAATTGTAAAATAATTATTTCTCTATTTTCTCCCCCATCTCGGTTATTCATTTAACCATTGTTTCTAACTAAAATTTTAGTCACTCTTATACAAAATAAGCTCGCACTTTCTAGAATTTGGAAAACAGTGTCTTGGAATAAAATCTAAGAAAGTATTTACCACTATATTTTACCTCTTAGATATAAAGCCGACCTTCGGTGACCCGAAACTAAGTCCTTTAAATGTCTACAATCTGCTATTACTTAATGGCACTTATTGGAGTTGAACTGGGACCAATTAGCGATTGAATTGAACAAATTACGTCAAGCTGACATTTGTAATATTAGCGACATAGTCAAATCATCTTGATGTTTAAGTTTTGCGTAAAAAAATAAAAGTATGTACACGCGCTTCTCAAAAGCAAAAACGTTTCTAAAAGTTAACGCTAAAATAAGGTTTAATTCATTGCATTACATCAAGGCTATGACAAGTTTATCACCATTTTCATTATCATCATTTTCATCAACATTATTATCATCATCAGTCCAATGACCGGATGTGGTCGTAGGATCACTGCGTCTTTACTAAAATCAAAAAGTTGGAACACTGAGTGAACTCTACTCAGTCATCATGAATCGTACTCCACGCGCGGTGGTCGAGCGTCCGACGGGCAGTGGTCGGTCAGTTTGCAACGCGGTGTGGTTGGCTGGGTGTGCAATCGACAAATGAGTTACTCACAGACGCCAAAATAGCTTCACCCCCTTTGCGCGGGCAACCACGAAACATAGAGCGGCGTCGAAAGGACGGAATGACACACGTAGATCTCAGCTTAATATGTAGCGCCAGTGCGTTCGATCAGCGAATTTAACAAATCGCGCCGTCTTTCAGACCCGCTGCGCGTACCACCGCAAAAAGCAGAGACCGGTGACGCGAGGACGGATTGACGCGAATGGGTGTCAGTCTAATATGTAGCGCCGCAACTCAGGACCAGTGCGTTCGATCAGCGAATTTTACAAAGCGCGCCGCCTGTCAGCCCCGCTGCGCATACCATCGCAAAACACAGAAACCGGCGACGGGAAGACGGATTGACGCGAATGGATGTCAGCTAATATGTATCGCCGCGTCTCGTGAACAGTGCGATCGATCAGTGAATTTTACAAACAGCGCCGCCTTTTAGAACCGCCTCGGATACCACCGCAAAACGGAGAGACCGGTGACGGGAGGACGGATTGACGCGAATGGATGTCATCCTAATATATATCGCCGCGACTCATGACCAGTGCGTTCGATCAGTGAATTTTACAAAGCGCGCCGCCTTTTAGAAACGCCTCGCGTACCACCGCAAAACGCAGAAACCGGCGACGGGAGGACGGATTGACGCGAATGGATGTCATCCTAATATGTAGCGCCGCGTCTCATGAGCAGTGCGTTCCCTCAGCGAATTTTAAAATCGCGCCGCCTGTAAGACCCGCTGCGAGTACCACCGCAAAAGACAAAGACCGGTGACGCGAGGACGGATTGACGCGAATGGGTCCGCTGCACGTAACACCGCCAAACGCAGAGGCTGGCGACGGGAGGACGGATTGACGCGAATCGATGTCATCCTAATATATATCGCCGCGACTCATGAGCAGTGCGTTCCATCAGCGAATTTTACAAAGAGCGCCGCCTATTAGACCCGCCTCGCGTACCACCGCAAAACGGCGAGACCGGCAAGCTGAGGACGGATTGACGCGAATGGATGTCAGCCTAATATGTAGCGCCTCGTCTCAAGACCAGTGCGTTCGATCAGTGAATTTTACAAATCGCGCCGCCTTTAAGACCCGCTGCGCGTACCACCGCAAAAAACAAAGACCGGTGACGCGAAGACAGATTGACGCGAATGGGTGTCAGCCTAATATGTAGCGCCGCGTCTCAAGACCAGTGCGTTCGATCAGCGAATTTAACAAATCACGCCGCCTTTCAGACCCGCTGCGCGTACCACCGCAAAAAGCAGAGACCGGTGACGCGAGGACGGATTGACGCGAATGGGTGTCAGCCTAATATGTAGCGCCGCGTCTCAGAGCAGTGCGTTCCATCAGCGAATTTTACAAAGAGCACCGCCTTTTAGACCCGCCTCGCGTACCACCGCAAAACGGAGAGACCGGCAAGGTGAGGACGGATTGACGCGAATGGATGTCAGCCTAATATATATCGCCGCGTCTCATGACCAGTGCGTTCGATTAGCGAATTTTACAAATCGCGCCGGCATTTAGACCCGCTGCACGTAACACCGCCAAACGCAGACACCGTCGACGGGAGGACGGATTGACGCGAATGGGTGTCAGCCTAATATGTAGCGCCGCGTCCTATGACTAGTGCGTTCGATCAGTGAATTTTACTAAGAGCGCCGCCTTTTAGACCCGCCTCGCGTACCACCGCAAAACCGAGAAACCGGCGACGGGAGGACGGATTAACGCGAATGGATATCAGCCTAATATGTAGCGCCGCGTCTTAGAACTCTGCGTTCGATCAGAGAATTTTTTAAAGAGCGCCGCCTTTAAGACCCGCTGCACGTAACACCGCAACACGCAAGACCGGTGACGGTACGACGGATTGACGCGAATGGATGTCAGCCACGTCTCATGAACAGTGCGTTCCATCAGCGAATTTTACAAAGAGCGCTGCCTTTTAGACACGTTGCGCGTACCACCGCAAAACGGAGAGACTGGCAAGGTGAGGACGGAGTGACACGAAAGGATGTCAGCCTGAAATGTAGTGCCGCGACTCAAGACCAGTACGTTTGATCAGCCAATGTTACAGACCTCGCCGCCTTTCAGTCTCGCTGCACACGCCACCGCAAAACGCAGAGACCGGCGACTGGAGAACGGATTGTTGCGATTTGTTGTCAGCGTAACGCCTTTCAAACCTATCAGCAGTATTTATATCAGGAGTATTGTCCACATCATTGTGTTGTTACTATCACCTGGTCGACTCCCGTCCGAATTTCTGGGAAAAGGACTTATTGTTAGCTCTATTTATATGCGGACTATTGTCCACATCTTTGTTCTTACTATCACCTGGTCGACTTTGGTCCGAATTTCTGGGAAGAGGATTTATTGTTAGCACTATTTATATCAGGAGTTTTTTCCCACATCTTCGTTTTGTTACTTTCATCTGGTCGACTTCTGTCCGAATTTCTGAGAAGCGGATTTATTATTAGCACTATTTATATGCGGACTATTGTCCACGTCTTTGTTGTTACTATCACCTGGTCGAATTCTGTCCGAATTTCTGGGAAGAGGAGTTGTTATTTGCACTCTTTATATGCGGACTATTTTCCACATCTTTGCTGTGACTATCATCTGGTCGACTTCTGTCCGAATTTCTGGGAAGAGGACTTATTGTTAGCTCTATTTATATGCGGACTATTGTCCACATCTTTGTTCTTACTATCACCTGGTCGACTTTGGTCCGAATTTCTGCGAAGAGGAGTTATTGTTAGCACTATTTATATCAGGAGTTTTTTCCCACATCTTCGTTTTGTTACTTTCATCTGGTCGACTTCTGTCCGAATTTCTGAGAAACGGATTTATTATTAGCACTATTTATATGAGGACTATTGTCCACATCTTTTTGTTTCTATCACCTGGTCGAATTCTGTCCGAATTTCTGGGAAGAAGAGTTATTATTAGCACTCTTTATATGCGGACTAATATCCACATCTTTGCTGTTACTATCACCAGGTCGAATTCTGTGCGAATTTCTGGGAAGAGGAATTATTATTAGCACTATATATATCAAGAGTATTGTCCACATCTTTGTTTTGTTACTTTTAACTGGTCGACTTCTGTCCGAATTTCTGAGAAGCGGACTTATTATTTGCAGTATTTATATGCGGACTATTGTCCACATCTTTGTTGTTACTATCCCCTGGTCGACTTCTGTCCGAATATCTGAGAAGCGGAGTTATTATTAGCACTATTTATATGAGTTCTATTGTCCACATCTCTGTTGTTACTATCACCAAGTCGAATTCTGTCGAAATTTCTGGGAAGAGGAATTATTATTAGCGCGATATATATCAGGAGTATTGTCCACATCTTTCTTTTGTTACTTTAACCTGTTCGACTTCTCTCCGAATTTCTGAGAAGAGGAGTTATTATTACCTATATTTATATGCGGATTATTGTCCACATCTTTTTGCTACTATCACCTGGTCGAATCTTTTCCGAATTTCTGGGAAGAGGATTTTTTATTAGCACTATTTATATGCAGGCTATTGTTCACATCTTCCATTTGTTACTATCTCTTGTTCGACTTCTGGTCGAATTTCTGAAACGGGTTTATTATTAGCACTATTTATATGCGGACATTGTCCACGTCTTTGGTGTTACGATCACCTGTTCGATTTCTGTCCGAATTTCTGGGATGAGGAGTTAATATTAGCACTATTTATATGCGGGCTATTATCCACTTCTTTGTTGTTACTATCACCTGGTCGAATTCTGTCCGAATTTCTGCGTAGATGAGTTATTATTAGTACTATTTATATCAGGAGTGTTGTCCACATCTTCGTTTTGTTACTATATCCTGGTCGACTTCTCTCCGAATTTCTGAGAAGCGGATTTATTATTAGCACTATTTATATGCGGACTATTGTCCACGTCTTTGTTGTTACTATCACCTGGTCGACTTCTGTCCGAATTTCTGGGATGAGGAGTTATTATTAGCACTATATATACATGCGGGCTATTGGCCACATCTTTGTTTTTACTATCTCTTGGTCGACTTCTGCCCGAATTTCTGAGAGGCGGAGTTATCATTAGCACTATTTATATCAGGTGTATTGTCCACAACTTTGTTTTGTTACTTTTACCTCGTCGATTTCTGCCCGAATTTCTGAGAAGCAGATTTATTATTTGCACTATTTATATGCGGACTATTGTCCACATCTGTGTTGTTACTCTCCCCTGGTCGACTTCTGTCCTAATTTCTGAGAGGCGGAGTTGTTATTAGCACTATTTATATGCGGACTATTGTCCACATCTTTGTTGTTACTATCACCTAGTCGACTTTTGTCCGAATTTCTGGGAAGTTTAGTTATTATTAGCTCAATTTATTTGCGGACTATTGTCCACATCTTTGGTGTTACTATCACCTGGTCGACTTCTCTCCGAATTTCTGAGAATCGGATTTATTATTTGCACTATTTATATGCGGACTATTGTCCACATCTTTGCTGTGACTATCATCTGGTCGACTTCTGTCCGAATTTCTGGGAAGTGGAATTATTATTAGCACTATTTATATGCGGTCTATTGTCCACATGTTTGTTGTTACTATCGCCTGGTCGACTTTTTTCCGAATTTCTGGGTAGAGGATTTATTATTAGCTCAGTTTATATGCGGACTATTTTCCACATCTTTGCTGTGACTATCACCTGGTCAACTTCTGTCCGAATTTCTGGGAAGTGGAGTTGTTATTTGCACTGTTTATATCATGAGTATTGTCCACATCTTTGTTGTTACTATCACCTGGCCGACTTCTCTCCGAATTTCTGGGAAGAGGAGTTATTATTAGCACTATTTATATTCGGACTTTTTTCCACATCATTGTTGTTACAATCACCTAGTCGAATTCTGTCCGATTTTCTGGGAAGAGGAATTATTATTTGCACTATTTATATGTGGACTTTTGTCCACATCTTTATTGTTACAATCACGTGGTCGATTTCTATCCGAATTTCTGGGAACAGGATTTATTATTAGCTCTATTTTTATGCGGACTATTGTCCACATCTTTGCTGTGACTATCACCTGGTCGACTTCTGTCCGAATTTCTGGGAAGTGAAGTTGTTATTTGCACTGTTTATATCATGAGTATTGTCCACATCTTTGTTGTTACTATCACCTTGTCGACTTCTCTCCGAATTTCAGGGAAGAAGCGTTATTATTAGCACTATTTATATTCGGACCATTTTCCACATCATTGTTGTTACTATCACCTAGTCGAATTCTGTCCGAACTTCTCGGAAGACGTGTTATTATTAGCACTATTTATATGCGGACTATTGTCCACATTTTTTGTTACTATCACCTGGTCGAATTCTGTCCGATTTTCTGGGAAGAGGAATTATTATTAGCACTATTTATATGTGGACTATTGTCCACATCTTTGTTGTTACAAACACGTGGTCGATTTCTATCCGAACTTTTGGGAACGGGAGTTATGATTAGCATTATTTATATGCTGACTATTGTCCACATCTTTGTTGTTACTGTCTGGTCGACTTCTGTCCGAATTTCTGGGAAGAGGAGTTATTATTAGAACTATTTATATCATGAGTATTGTCCTATCTTTGTTTTGTTACTATCACTTTGTCGACTTCTGTCCGATTTTCTGCGAAGTGGAGTTATTATTAGCACTATTTATATGCGGACTATTGTCCACATTTTTGTTCACACTCTCACCTGGTCGATTTCTATCCGAATTTCTGGGAAGAAGAGATATTATTAGCACTATTTATATCAGGAGTGTTGTCCACATGTTCGTTTTGTTACTATATCCTGGACGAATTCTGTCCGAATTTCTGAGAAACGGATTCATCATTAGCACTATTTATATGCGGACTATTGTCCACGTCTTTCTTGCTACTATCACCTGGTCGACTTCTGCCCGAACTTCTGGGATGAGGAGTTATTATTAGCACTATTTATATGCGGACTATTGTCCACATCTTTGTTGTTACTATCACCTGGTCGACTTCTGTCCGAATTTCTGGGAAGAGGAGTTATTATTAGCTCTCTTTATATGCGGACTAATGTCCACATCTCAGCTGTTACTATCACCCGGTCGACTTCTGTCTGAATTTCTGGGATGAGAAGTTATTATTAACACTATTTATATGCGGATTATTGTCCACATGTTTGTTGTTACTATCACCTGGTCGACTTTTTTCCGAATTTCTGGGAAGAGGAGTTATTATTAGCTCTATTTATATGCGGACTATTTTCCACATCTTTGCTGTGACTATCACCTGGTCGACTTCTCTCCGAATTTCAGGGAAGAAGCGTTATTATTAGCACTCTTTATATTCAGACCATTTTCCACATCATTGTTGTTACTATCACCTAGTCGAATTCTGTCCGAACTTCTCGGAAGACGTGTTATTATTAGCACTATTTATATGCGGACTATTGTCCACATTTTTTGTTAGTATCACCTGGTCGAATTCTGTCCGAATTTCTGGGGAGAAGTGTTATCATTATCACTATTTATATGCTGACTATTTTCCATATCTTTTTTGTTACTATCACCTGGTGGAATTCTGTCCGAATTGCTGGGAAGAGGAGTTATTATTAGCTCTATTTATATCATGAGTATTGTCCTCATCTTTGTTTTCTTACTATCACCCGGTCGATTTCTGTCCGATTTTCTGGGAGGTGGAATTTTTATTAGCACTATTTATATGCTGACTATTGTCCACATCTTTGTTCATACTATCACCTGGTCGACATCTGTCCGAATTTCTGGGAAGCGGAGTTATTTTTAGCACTATTTATATCAGGAGTATTGTCCACATATTTGCTGTTACTATCACCTGGTCGAATTCTGTCCGAATTCCTGGGAAGGGGAGTTATTATTATCACTATTTATATGAGGACTATTGTCCACATCTTTGTTTTGTTACTTTAACCTGTTCGACTTCTGTCCGAATTTCTGAGAAGTGGTGTTATTATTAGCACTATTTATATGCGGACTATTGTCCACATTTTTTGTTAGTATCACCTGGTCGAATTCTGTC